CAGGGCTGAAGTAACTGATGAGACTGAAGATCCCATCTCAGAGCTCAGCTGTGGCACAATTACCACGGTCCAACAAACAATGAGGAGCTGGGGGAAGGCGTGAGGGGAGACCATGGAGGGACCAGGAAAAAAACCAATTATGTTAAATAAGAATTGCTGAATTGTCTTCCTGAGCTTATTACTAAGCCCAGAGACACATTTATGTATAGTTTTAAGCAACACACCACTTAGCAATTTTCTCACATTTTTTCATTTTAAAACTGGCACAAAAGCCACAATTAAAGACACCATGTCTTCCCCCTCTCCCTCCCCAGTTGAATCATTTACTACATGCCAGATTAATGCTCAGTGAGTCCACAGGCAGAGTCTGGTCACAGTGTATCTCATTTTCAGAACTGTTATGTGTAACACCCCCTCCTACCACGAACCTATCCAGTAACCAGTTCCTTTTAGGAATCTAAACTGGCATGCACAGTTTTTCTGTCTCACCTGGGATGTTAAAGACTGAGGCTCAGAGAAAGTTGGGAAGGAACTGACTTTGTGCAGGACTCACCTGCGTATTCCTTTCCACAACATTCTGTGTCCAGGTAGTGTGAGCTCTCTTTGAACACTTCACCCTGTTCTTAAGGTCTAGATTCCATTTCACTTGTTAAGAAAGAAAGCTTTTCTGCCAACCTTACCAACATTCTTGGGAAGAACCTATTTGACTCACTTTACTGAGTTTCTGGGATAGAAGACAAGAACTTTTAAAACAAGACCATGCCTAACAATGCACTCCTACAAAAAAACCCAAACCCAAAAGAGCATCAGGACTTTCTGTGAGCACATTTTCTTTGTGCTATAGGAGTTCCTAGATCCATACAATTATTATTCACAGGTTTGGAGGTTTAAGGAGACAAGGGGAAGAGAGAGGTAGAGGAGGAGGACACAGCACAGGGGATGAGGGATAGGGGCAGGGGAGAGAGTCATCCCTAAGCCTGGCACATGTTTTAAACTAATTGCTGAAAGACAAGCTACCATCTTTATCAACCAGGTACAAATTAAATGAAAAATAATTTGGGCAAAGTAGTTTTCCGCACACAGCAAAAGGAACAAGAGAGAGCAACACATAATGTACATTAAGGAGTTAGGACTTCAGATTCTTTAGAGGTTTTATTTTATCAAGAAAGTCAGGAGACATTTTCCTTGATTTTCCTCAGATACAGAATTGGAAAAAATACTTGAGACCTCAAAAAGCTGGGAAATGTTAGTTGGTCCACACACCTGAGGTTTATAAAGAAATTAACCTTATATAAGCTTATTTTTAATTACAGGTTCTTAGAACTGTTTTAAAACAGAACCTTTCAGAGCAACCTGATACACTGACATATCTGCACCGATAAAGACAGCAAGAAAGAAGTCCACTGTATTCACCAGGCAGCACGAGTTTGGATATAAAACACCCAGAAGGTTTCCCAAGACCTGGTGCTGTCAGGATTTAATTCTGAATACAACACAGCGCAATGGTTTGTGGACAGAGTATCTTTAGAAAAGGTTAAAACCATGAGGAGAACACCTGGGATGACTCCAAACAAAAAACACTGCACAGATTCTCTTTGGCCACAAATGGCTTAAATGCCAAAGAAGGGCTAAAACAGAAGAAAAAATGAAGCCAACCAACAAACAAACTTACATTTTCAAGTTATGGTGAAAAGAAAACCAAAGTAATACACAATAGAAGACCCACTGTGCTAGGACCACCCCACTCACTTTAAATATCCACATACTTCTTTAACAAGATATCAAGGAACAGATTATTTACAGGATTACTATGAAATATCTCAGAGGATCTAGTATCAGACCTCAGTGGCAACAGCAGACAGAACCACTTTTTGACTGAACTGACAGAGAGCACCATTGCTATTTACATGGTTTAATTTTCAGCATCTTCCAACACCAACAGTAGGCTTTCTTTGTAATTAATGCAGAGACTACATATGAAGCACAAATGTTCTCCCTGCAATGGCTCAAATCTTAACCTCTTCAAAAGCTGCTTCTGAAGAAGAGAGTTGAAAATTATACCCATAGAGGAAGCTCATCATTGTAAAACCACCTCAAAATAAATCATCATAGGCAGGTTCATCAGTATCAACATGACACATCTCAGGAGAGTCACGTTTATAATGAAAACCAGGCTATTGGAACTTATTAAGACTACGGAAGTAGTCTCATGATGCAGCAAAACTTCTGTTTTGCAAGAACAAACCTCTTCTGTGGAACTACAGATTTCCACATGTTCTTGGCTTACTTGGGAAACTTCATTAAACATTAACTACCTGAACTGTAAGAATGCCTACTGAAAATAAAGCAAAGCTTACCTCTTGAAATACACCCCAGATCGAGCCTAGCAACGCACAGGAAATACACCACAGGGCAAGTCTAGTAATGCACAGGAGCAGAGGTGAGCATATTGCTCATTTACAGATACACTCATGAGTAAGAATGCCTTACAATTTTCAAAACATCAGGACCACTCAATTTAATAACACAATTTGTTACACAGAACTGGAGAGGACAAGTTAAATGATAAGGCCTGCACACTCCTCTTCCAGCAGCCACTGTGGAACCACACAGCACCAAGACTCCCCAGAGTGGGTGATACAGAGAGTTACCCTGTTCCTCTCAACCCCTACACATCCAATGACCTCACTAACTCACAGCTCCAGCTGGACCTTTTTTTTTTTTTTTTTCTAAGTGAAAACTTAGCAGATCAACTTAGCAAGCCAATAAATACTTTAAACTTTTATGTACTTTTCATTGCACTGCTGCAGGATGATAACAGTACCAGAAAAAGCCACTCCCCTTCCCCTCACAGGCAGAGCTCTGCGCATGCAGTTATTGTTCCTGTCATTTAGCTCTCCCAGGGACTTAAGCAGTGTTGACCTCACAACAAACAGCATTTTAAAGGCTATATTCACTAACCTTTCTCTGTACAGGTAGATACTTGAGAAAAATAAAGGTCAAGCCATTTAAAATAAGAATATTTATAACAGCAGTGGTAACTAGCCCTACTCCTCATTTAAGTCTCCTATTACATTTTTTCCTCCACAAGAAAACAACATTTTCACTGAGTTCAGGTTGACCTAATTAAACATGTTTGAATTACCATTCAAAAATAATCGATTCTCTAGACAACATAAACTGTAAACTTTTTTGCACCACTCTGAAAACAAAGGCTTGGTCTCCCATGTCCTTAGCGTGAATTGAGGCAAATTGTCTTGAGCAAGAAATAGATATTTTCCCCATGTCTGACTAACACAAACAAGACTTTAGTTCATAATCATCCTAAACACAACAAATACACTGAAGTACCTACTTGAAGGAAGCAATAATGTCAATCCAAACCTTGGGAATGTGTAAGGCACAGCTGACAAAACCAGCATACACTAAGTATGTCAAAAGGTGATACCCTATGCCTTTAAGACTTTGCTTCTCATTTCTACCCAAAATGTCTCTTTGTACTCCTAACAACAGAAAACACTGTATGAAAGATACAGCTGCATAACAAAGTTTCCGTGGCCAGAAGACACACATGCCAAGACACACAAAGTGCTAATTTTTATGGTTTTTTATCACAGAGAACACTAATCTGACATTTCACTTTTACAGAGCTTCCTATTCCTGCACTTCCAGCACCTTTAAAGGTGCTCCCCTTTTTTCAGATGCAGTACAGCAACTTCAGTGGAAACAGGAGCCTATTACGTGTTACCCAAATTAGGTCAAACGCTCCCACACTACAAAAGCTGGGTGAGAGGCACTGTAAACACAGCAACATGAGAGATAACCAGCCAACCAGAGATACACCAGCCTGCCTGCTTGGAGCAGGCAGCTGCATCTACAGACGGGTATGGCATGTTCAGGAGCAGCCTAAGAAAAACAAAACAGCAAAACACCCACAGAACAGACCACGCCAAGCCTTTCCATCGGTCAGATGTTCTGTTTCAGAAACAGCAAAGAAAGACGGGCAATGCCCAGAAGAAAAGCTCCTCACTACTCTTACTTGCACAAGTTTCTCTGAGAGGCCACAGCTTACTTTCATCAGATAGAGAAGAAAGGAAAGCAAAAACAGTTGAGTCTTTCCACATCCTGTAGTCGAAGTGTAGAAGGGGGGCGCTGAGGCAGCAGAGAAACACCCCACCCTCCTCCTCCTGCTGTCACACCAAATGGGGGGAGAGCGACAACTTCACGCAGCTACATCCACTGAGCCCCTTCGGCTCCTCCGTGGGAGAGGAGACCCACCTTGCCGGGAAGAAGGTGGGTCGGCCCCCCTTCACGGGGGCAGAAGCGCCGTGCCCGCACCTCGGTCCGGCCGGGCAGGGCAGGAGCGGCGGGGCCGCCCCGCGCCTCCCGGGCAGCGCCGCTCACGGCCCCAGAGCCCCCCGAAGCCCTGCTGGGGGGAGCGGGCCCAACACGCGGCTCCCGGGCAGGGCCGCGCCCGGGCCAGGGCTGCGGGCACCGTCCCCGGCTGGAGCGGCGCCGGCCCAGCCCCGCGCCGCCGGGAACGCCCGCATCGCCCCCGCGCCCCCGCCGCGGCCGGGAACGGCTGCTTCCTCTTCCGCTTCCTCTTCCCCTTCCTCTTTCCCTTTCCCGCTCCCTTTCCCGCTCCCTCTCCCTTTTCCCTCCCTTTTCCCTCCCCTTCCCCCCCTCACCTGCCCCCGGGCTCTCCGGCGGGCGGAACGGGCCCAGCGCCGCCGCTCTGCCCCGGCCGAGCCCCCGGCCCGCCGCGCTCGCCTCAGCGCCGGCCCGCAGCGCGCACGGCAGCGCCCGCCCCCTCCCGCCCGCCATTGGCGGGTCCGTGGCCCCGCGCCCCGCCGAGTGGTCCGCGAGCACGTCAATCAGAGAGGGCTGACCGACGGCCCCGCCTCCCCTCCGGCCGCGGGGTGTGCTGGGAGTTGTAGTTCGGCGCGGGCGTGCGGCCTGTGCGGGGCTGTTTGGGCCCGCTGTCCCTTGTCGCTGTCCCTCGAAAGCTCTCCTTGGTCCCCGTGTTAGTTCGGCCCTGACCGCGCTTTTGCTGTGTTCTGCGGTGCTGTTGTACCTGGAGGTAGGGTGTGTGTGAGCTCTGGGGTGCCCCTCATCCCCCTCCCCGCCCCCCCGACCCGCCAGTGCTCTGGAACCGTTTCACAGAGTGACAGAATCAGTGAGGTTGGGAAAGACCTCTGAGGTCATCGAGGCCAACCTGTGACCGAGCACCGCCTCGTCAATGAGACCGTGGCACTGAGTGCCTTGTCCAGTCTGTCCTTAAACACCTCCAGCCACGGTGCCTCCACCACCTCCCTGGGCAGCCCCTTCCAGTGTCTGATCACCCCTTCTGGGAAGAAAGTATTTTTCTCAGGGTGTTTCCAACACGCGGAGCAAAATTCATCAGAGCCATCAACGTGGGAGATAGTTACCTGTTGCCCGTGGCATAATTACTTCAGATCCAGCTCATTATAAACAATAGTGAGGTGTTTCTGCGCCCTCCCCTCACCATCAATAAGGGTTTTTCACAGCTGATTTACCTTAATGCAAGGACCATCTGTCCTTCCCTGCTTTCTTACTGCCCAGCCATTGGGCTCTTTGTGGCTTTCCCTGGTGACTTCTCTTCTTCCCTGGGTGAAAAGTGCTGGAGATCTGTACTGGGTATTTTTTTTTGCTTGCAGTTCCAACATAACTGTCTCTGTGTCTTTGGTTTCATTTAAATAAGAAAACATCTGTTTCTCTGAGAGAAAACATCACGTTCTCTAGGGCAGGTTGCATTACCTGACCTGGCAGTCGTGTTACTGGGGCTGATGTGGGAGAGGGAGCCAAAAGCTGCCCAGCAGCAAGCATGTTACGTGAGTGGTGAGCACCCTGTGTCTGGTGCTTATCACAGGGCAAAACCCCGATGTTCCTCAGGTCACCCGGGCTTCGTTACACCTCGTTACACCAGAATGGCATATGAAGCCTTTTACACTGGAATGAGAGGTTTCTGGACTGTGCTGCTTTTGGCACAAGAAATGTTTCTCAGTGTGTCTGTCGCTGTGATCAGACAGGTGAAACTTCAGTTATTTGGTGGTCTTGTTTTTATAGATGATTTCAGAGTCAGCCTTGTTCACTTCAGCTCATCCTCTTGGCTGCAAACAGTGCGACAAATGTGTAAATGAATGAATCATGAATTATTCATCCACCTGTGTTGAGGCACTGCGCTCAATTATCTGTGAGTGGAAGAGCCAGGTGGTGGCTAGTCCCTGCCACAGACACCAGGCAGCAGTCTGGGGGTAGCTGTGTGGCTTTCAAAGCTCACCTGGCTCCAAGGGCATTACAGCTGCTTTTGTAATACAGCACTAACAAGTCCCACCTTGCAGGCCTTTGATGGCTCTGCACCGGGTCACCTCAGGTTTTGGTGTACCCCAAACTGCTGGAACAGGAATATTAGAGAAGGTGCTCTAGAGGGCAGGGCCCAAGTGGTTCTGAATAGGATCTGCTGTGTCCAACATCAAGTTATATGCTTTTGTCAGGAGGAAGGTGGTATTTTTTATGTTGTTCTGCGTATTCTGTTGCAAAACCTGCCTTCACTGAAAAATCAGTAGCCTATATGGATATGAAAATGTGGAATATATTGATACAAAAATAGGAATGTATTGTTATTTTCTTCAACATACATTCTTTTATATTCCTCAAAACATTGAATCTGCAGATAACTTTATGCATCAGATCCTAAAGCAGCAATAGGGCTATTTGTGACTTCTGAAGGTAAAAATTCCACAGCTGGATTATTGAGATTCCTTTATTCCTCAGTCCTTTCATTTGAGAGCAGGGAAAATATGGAGAAGGAAATAGTTATGAATCAGCTTGATTGCAATTCAGTAAAAATTTTGAAAACTTGCTCCAAAATCACAGGGGAAGAAGCCTGCAGTATGATGGGGTTTTGAAATTTCTACATGACTTCCCTATCTCCTTAGTGATGCTTTTTTCCTGCACTTTTAAATTCTCTTGAAAAAGTTGAAGAAGAACTATTCAGCTATGCAACACCCTGGACTGTGACTGTCAGCTGTTAATTGCTGGCTTCTGGAAAATCAAGGTGTTTGAGTCACCACTTAGTTTTGTTGCTCTGGCACACAGCGCAAAACAGTGCTGAACAACCACGAGGGAAGACAAACTCCCTGCCACCAAGGGTTTGTCATTTAAAGGTATTACAATCCCTCACTTGACATGGTGTCATAGTTCCCTTTTCTCTGTAGTTCTGTATCTATGATTCCTTCTTTTCACTCACCTGTGTTCCTTAACTCTTGCTGTGGAGCATGAGCCCTACTTGCTTTGCTTCTGTGGACTACTACAGCATTTACTTCGAGTGAAAAATACAACACATTTCATCAACTTGAGGGTTGTGGAAATGTTCTTCACAGCTAGATGGCAACAAAAGAATTCCATTAGACTTCCTGCACTGAAAAGTGAGAAATGCAGTGTTGTGAGAGCATTAGAAGCAGCTGCCTGACTCTAATGTCAGTGACAGTCTCCGTCAATTTAAATATTTGCAATAGCCATAATTAAACACTTAGTAACTGGCATTGAGTTAAAATGGAAATACATTACATAGTCTTACTGCTGTGCAGATTTTAATTCCAATTTATATCCTCCTTGGCTTTGTGCCTGGATAAGTCTTGTGATCTAAAGGCTGTTTTACACAGTATAGAAATTGTCATAGAGGGCAAATTATCTTCTAAGTGAGTAACAGAACTTCGAGTTTTTCCAGAAGCAGCTCCCTAAAGGGATCAAACAATGTTATGTTCTCCTTCCACTGTTTAAATAATGAAGAGATTTACATCTGCAAACAGAGGGATGGTCTGCCTGGGTCACTGAATACAGACACTGACTCTTGGAGGCTATCACATCACCTAAACCTTCTAAACAGACTTTCCCTCATCCTCTAAAACCAGTGTTGAAACTGGTGATCCTCTTACACACAGCTACTGTCATGTAAGAAGACGTGTTAGAACCTTGGGCTGACCATGCCTTCTGAAAAAATGCATATGTAAACAAATGTTCCTTGGGCTTTGCCCTCATTCTTATCCTTTTGGAAGGTGAGTGTAGCAAACCATGGCATACTACACAATAACAGAAACACAGGTCTCAATATTCTTACCCAGGTATTTGCCATTCTGCTTGTAGGATCTCTGATGATAAGGTTTCAGTTTCTTAAAGCTTTTGATTATAGCAGAAAAAAATCATTATATTGTAATTATTCATTACATAATTATAAAATAATATACAAAATAAAATTATAAAGAAACACACCCATTTTTATTCTATTGTGCCTGTAAGACCTACATTTTTCTAATCACACTGAAAAGGTGAAATAAAGAATCACTCAACCTTGTACCTCTCCCAGGTACACTGGGAGATTTCCAGCAGGCCTGAATTGATCCCAAGTGTATTTTATTGTACATCAGAGCGCAGTATATAGGTTGTGGTTCCAATTCTTGCAGCCACACAGGCAGCCCTTTTCTGAGCTGCCTCTCTGGCCATGAAGCCATGTTGAAGGAGCTTGAACTGTCTTTCCCGAATCTCTTCCAGTTCTCTCCAATGGTTCCCTTGCGAAGAATCCTGCAGGAAAGACACACAGATGATCAGACTGCAGATGATACAGTGGCCTCCTCTTCAGAGGACACACTGAAATTCTACCTGATCCTGCTGCCTGACAACACGGTGTGTTTTCTAACATGATTGGGAAACTTGTCAACATCGAAGTAGGTGTGTGATGAACAGAAAGGTAACCTGAGCGGCTTGCCCAGTTTAAGATGACTTAAACACAGCTGCAACACTCCACAAAACCATGGGAATGATGAACTGTAACATACCCCAGGTGAGAGGGGGCAATCCCAGTTTGGGATGGGGTGTGTGTGATGGGAAGCTGGGAAAGACAAGAGTTAGAGACAGGGGGTAAGGTGCTGTCCTGATGGGATAATAAGAGTGGGATGGCAGGTGTAGAATGGGTGAGCCCTGCTCCGTGGTGGCAGAACGTGTGACAAGAAGGTGAGGTCAAGGCCACGGCTGGAGAAACTGTGCCTGTGCAGGAAGCGGGGTTTTGCTATTGCCAGTCATGCGTGGCACCATCTGCCTCTGCCCCCCTTGCCAGTGCTGGCAGTTGAGCAAAGGTCTGTGAACAGCAGGTCTATTGCAGAGCTTTTCTCCTTATGTAATAACCAGACCTTGCTTGGCACGATGCTGGTTTTCTGGGGGATAATCTTTAGGAGTCCTGCTTGCTTTTTACGCTCCATTTTTTTCTCTACAATCTTCCTCTGCAGGTTTAAAATGCGTTCGTCTTTCACGGGCCTTTCACCAGACTGGGACTTCAATTTCTTTTCTTCTTGCCTGAAAAATCAAAAAGAAGCAATGAGAAGGCAAAATAATATCATTCCACAGAATAAATCCATCTGAGCATATATTATCTTGATAATAATGAATTTGCTCTTGCTTCTGGGAACCAGCTAGACTCAAAACAGATGTAAATCATATAACTTGCCTGTGGTATTTGCAACTTGCCTCTTGTTGTTTTCACCACAGCATTACTAAACCATATAGAATAATTTTTTCCCACAGGATGCCATGATGACAATATCTGAAGTACTTCAAGCTTGACATGATATTCTTTAGAAAAAAACGCGTGCAAAACCTGGGATAATACTGCAGCACTTTGCTTGTAAGAACTTTGGAGTTTTCCTTATATGATCATTAGTATTCATCCTGATCGCTGTATTCCTTGGCAAATGAAAGATACTCTTTTCCGTGTAATCCCAATGCCCAGATACAGAATCTCTGGGATGGTGATGTATTAATTAAGGTTAGTTGCTCTAGGTGAGCATAAATTGATAGCAGCATGTGCAGCATAAAAGTAAAGCATAAGAGAGAGGTTACTGGACAGTCTTTTTCTCCCCTTCTGTTGTAGCCACTTTTCTGTCCTCTGGAATTTACATTTGATCTGGTTTTGCTTACTTTCACACAACTGGCACAAATTACTCACAAATTCTTCATGCAGGTTGCACCATGTTACATAGAGACTCACTTTTTTCATTTTTCTTTTATTCAACATTGCACTTGAATTTGGCTTAGTATGACCAAATGGTAGAGTTATTATTATGTCATGATCAGCTGTGATTCTCTGGCCAAATTCAGAGCTAAAGGAAGTGTCAGATCTTCCAAAGAATGCACATAATTATATAGGGTATAACCAGGTTAGATCTGATGCAGCTGGCAGGGATAGTTTATAAAAGGTCCTTTTATATAGTGCAGTGGCGCAACATTACAATTGCTTTTATTGGAAACCAGATAAAGACTCCAAATGACCCAGAGCAGAGTGCACCAGGGCATTGTCCAGCTGATTCTGTAACTGTCATTTTGCCAGTGGCAGGACCAGTTTCACAGACAAGGTGCCTCTTGGAAATCAGTGTTTTACAACTGAACTCTACCCTTGTATCTTGGGTCTTACATCAAGTGTTTTCAGTATAAGACACACTCTCCTCAAGAAGCTGGCAGATGGGGAAGAAGGAAGAAGTTCCTTCTGATGCTAAATCCACCAATTTGCCTTAAAAAAGTGTCTATATCAAGACTCCAGGGATCCAAACACTTCTTTCATCTTGGGAGAGATGGCTTTTACCTGCCTTGTTACTTCATCTTTGCTAACAGGAAACTCTCCATGACAGCAGATTTTCTTCAGAGCAGCCATTCTGGACTAGAGGGCCCAAAATCCTCAGGGAGTGGATGAGGGGGAGCAATGACCTCTCTTACATTCTAAAATGTGACTGAACTCCAAATCAGCTGCACAGTTTAGCTTGGCTTCTCATTTCCAGCTGCTTTCCTGAGACACTTCCTGAACCTCCCTGCTTCTTGTGTCATGCTGTGTGGTTAGGATAACGTTTCCTTATCCTCCTTAATACTGTGATATACTCTGCTACACTGAGATCAATTTTTAACACTATTCTGTACATCTGAAAATTATGTACTATCACTTAATCTAATTGAGAACGTGATTTATTTCTACTTGCACTGTATCAAGCCATTGCATTCCAAAGGATATAGGAGAACATAACAGTAAGGTTTTATGTAAATACTTGATCATTAAATCTTGTCAGTGGGAATAAACAACAAAACCTTGCCTTACATGCAAATCCAGATTCTTGTAAATACAACTAAAGGAAATACAGCAAGAGGTTTAACATCATGAAGCAGCAGCAGCTGCTTCTGTATTAACATTGTAAATAGTTCCTTATCCCCAGAGTAATATTCAGTCCTCTTCTAGAGGAAGTCACGTGCCAGTCATCTACACTATTCCAAAAAGCTGCCAATCCCACAGATTTTCAGTTGCCACACCATATCATAACAGCAACTCCAAGAGAGGAAGGAATGAAAAACGAAATTTTAAAATTCTGTTTTTCTGTGATGGTCAGTTGACAACTTTCAGGACTCAAGATAGAAAAATCTCTTATGATCTCTGTCACCTCATATCACATATTTTCAAAGGAAATAAGGCAGCAGCCAGTCAGAAAGGGCTAGTCCAGAGTTAGAAAAATCCTATCCAGATTCAATAGAAAATTATGTGATAATTTATGAAAAATCTGCTGTATTTAAGAAATGGCAGATTTGAAGATTTGCACAGAGGATTTCTCCTAGAAAGTACGTTTTGCACTTCAAACTCCAGCTTTGCATCAAAAGTATAAAGAGATAGACAGATGCATGACAGCTCTTAACTGACTCAATACTTGTAGGAGATGGAGTAAAAATGATGACTTAACTGTTCTAGGGACCAGAATATCAACCTAAGCAGCTGGGACTGTATTTATAACCTCACCTTGCAAAATGGAGTCTTGTGCAATAAACACATTTTGTTAAAAAACCAAACCAAAACAAAACCAGGATTCCCTTATAGTGCAATAAACATTTTTTTTTATTTCCTCATACTCTCAGTCTCAGTGACTAGGGCTCCCTGTACTTCCCTCCTTGCCCTTTTCTGTCCTGCACCATATAATTCTTAGGTACTCCAGTAAGTAAAGTGAATGTATCTGTTAACAGTTCACTGTTAAGGCAGTCATTATTGTGACATTTAAGAACTCTACACTATTAGACTGATTACTATTTTTCTATTAACGTGAGGGATTTAAGCACTCAAAATCTGACTCCTTTCCAAAACAATCAAATATTAAGCACCTAATTTTAGGTGGGGAAGTGATTTTTATTCATAAGTGTTTTCCTCATTTGAAATAAAGATCATGAGGGTGTATAATCAAAGTTCATTCCCTGAATCATAGAATGGCTGAGGTTGGAAGGCACCTCTGGGGCTCATCTTGTCCACCCCCAACCTGCTCAAGCAGAGCCACCTCAAGCTGGTGGCACAGGAATGTGTCCAGATGGCTTTTGAACATCTCCGAGGATGGAGACTCCACAACCTCTCTGGACTACCTGTGCCAGTGCTTTGTCACCCTCACAGTAAAAAGTGTTTCCTGATGTTCCTCTTGTCCTTTCAATGGTCACCACCGAGAAGAGCCTGGCTTTGCTTTTTTTACAGCCTCTCTTCACATCTTTATGTTTCTGATCCATCATTGCTGATAAATCTCCTCCTTCTGTTTCAGTGCTAGTGAAGAACCCATTACCAGCAGTAGGAAATGAGAAACTAAATCTTAACTTCCTTATTGCAAACATACACGGGACTATTTTATGAAGTATTTCTTAAATTTGTGAAATCAATGAAATCACTAGTATTGTGAAGTACCAAACCAAAGTCCCTTATATTGTTAATTATTCAGCTTTTTTTTTTGTTATTCTAGGCTATGTTTTTGAAGTCCTGAAGCAACAACCACACACAGCCATAGCACAGCACGTTTCCATTACTTCTTTCCCCCTCCATGTGCTGTTTGCCCCTTCCCTCAGTTCTGTGCTGTTACCACAGGGTTGTGCTGCCAGAGTGTCTTAGGAGTTTTGAAGGATGGGCCTCCATTCTCCAGTCCTCACCCAGAAGGCCTTTGAACCCCTAAGTCATACCTGGACACTCCAGGGAACTCCTGCTTTAGGAAGTTTGTTCTACTTGGATAGGACTATCACAACCATTCATCCATAACCCTCCCTTCTGCTTGTCCTCTTTCTCTGTAAATTAGCGTGTATTCAAACACACATAAATCTGCTGGTGCTTAAGTTTGAAATCTGAGAACTCAAATGTCCATCCACTTCATATGCCAGTGCTGATTTGCAAACTGTGTGAAATTGCAGCAATTAAAGGGACGTCCTGCATATACACTGTTCATTGTTGAGTGTTCTGCAAGCACTCACAAAGCCACTGCTGTGATGGATGTCACGGCTTGCAGTCTGTTAAAGGCCGATGTCTCAGTAATTTTTCATGTTCCATTTCCTATTCTGTTTAATATAACTCACTGTAGGCCTGCTCAATGTGGTCCTTTTGTGTTGATGGATGTCTGTTTGTAAATGACATTGAAAGGAACCTGCTTGATAGGGCCCTGATTAAACTCCAGCTGACATTAAAGCACTTTTCTTAGCAAAGTTTAGCTGCCAGACTTTAGCTGATTAGCAGTAGCCTTCAACATAATGCAATTTAAGATATAAACATGTAGTTTTATGTTGATGCCTAAGGCTAACTTATGAGGACCATTGGTAAGATTTGCTATTCTATCCCTATAATGATTTAACTTTATAAACATAAAAATTTGCTTTTTACATCTCCTGTGCAGCGTATCAAGAATACAACCCAAGCAATTAATCTCTCACACTGAATTGATAGATATTTCAGAATTCAAGAAAGAAATAAAAACTGCAACAAAGTGTCTAACATTTGTAAATGCTATGGCCAGCATGCCATATTTCTGTATTAACAGAAGTCACACCAGAGATTTGGATTCTAGATGAAAATGCATGAAATACACTCCCAAAGAACAGTATTTTTTATATACTCTTTATAGGATAGTCTTCCAAGTTTCATACATAGATTGCCTGGGAGCCATGAAAGGCAAATATCTTACAACATCCATAACGAAACACTATATTTTCTTTGTCTGGAGAGTAAACAGGGCACCGTTAAAATCACTGTATTATTTATCATAAGTCTGACCAGAAGCTTGCAAATTTAGTGTTTAACTTCATTTGGATTCTACTATCTTTGGCATGCTGCTCTGTTCTAAAAAACATTTCAAATGACAGGACAAAGAAGTGAATCAAAGTTAGCTTCTCATTCAAGCATAGCTTATTTCAGGATCAGAACAGCTTTAGGTCCGAATTAAGCCAAAGAGTTTAAAGTTTAAAGGAACCCAGTCCTATACAAAATTCACAGACTGCACATCTAGCAGAACAGATGATTCTTTAAGCAGTTACTGGTGAAACAGGTTTCAGGTAGTACACACGTTCTCAATGTCTAGTTTGTGTCTCTGCTGGAAAGCAGTGCCTGGA